ATGCACCCCATGATAAAGTCTTTTAAACTTCGTTCCCGTTCATACGCGATCAAATGATACAACCATTAATGAAATATATTCGCGCATTGCAGAATGTCATGTTTAAAATAACGGAAACCTGATTCTTAATTGACGTACATGCCTTAAAGAAATTTTATTCTGTTAGAAAACAGACAAGAATTCCTATTTCCAGAAATTCTTTTGTTTTCTAACGAAAAACAAATCTTCTAAATTTAGTTTTTCTTAAGTAATGTATTTATCAAACAAAGTCATGCGGAGAGAATTCTGTAAAACGTGCACGTATTTTAATCGTTATATCAGATTAGTGATTTTTTTTTTTTTAAGTTAAAAAGTTGATGATGCGATAGATATAAATTCTCGGCATGTTGTATAAAATTGAGAGAAATATCTTATTAAAAAACGAAAATATTGCATATACAAATGTAGAATATTGATTTAGCATTTGAATAATTGAATTCCGTTTCAAGTAGATACTGACATTTGCATAAAATTAAATTTCCGCAAAAATCAACTGAGAAATTTATAAAGTATGTTTTAAGGAATGTAAAACATAAAAAACCTTAAAGATAAAAATCATTATTTTACGTCTATTCATAATATTCAATTCTAAATTTAAAGTCAGATTATCAGAAGACTTCTAGATACTCTTATCTCTAGATGATAAAAAGTCTCGTGATAAAAATGAAGATACTGATCTTAAAAGTTAATGCAGCCTTGTTAAACATCATAATCGAAACCTGTAATGAACGTGCGGATAAATAACTGCGAGTGCGTGTTTCACGGAATGGAAGGTAAATCATCCCCCGTCGCTTAATGGAGCTCGGTCACAGGCTGATGCGAAACAAAGACCGCGACAGGGGAGGGGGAGCGAGTGCAACCCCCGCTCGTTCACGGCCGCCGTAATTCACAGTTTGGTGGCGCGTTTATTAACGGCGGCGCGGCGTCACTCCGGGCTACGCCTTTTTAATGATTTATCGTGCACGCGCCGAGACATGCGTAGCCCTTTTGCGGGCCAAAGTTCGACGTCTTCCTCGAGCCCCGCGGGGCCTTTTCCCTCCTTCACCTTCCGCCAGCTGCCGATCGGTGAGGAGTGCAGATGGAGGCGCAGATGTTGCGTTTCAACCCTGTCACCGTTCGTAACTGCATAGTTCCTCTTCTTGTTGTCGAGAGACGTCTTCCTCCTCTTCACGTTAGGCGAATCATAAAATCGGATATGACCGACAGCCTTTCCATTCGGTTTTAGGATAGACATTAAAACTATCCACGACGCTTGAAATGCGAAAACGACAATGGGAAACTAGATAAATACAGAAAGAACAGTTTTGCTAAAGTATCTAGCTAAATTTTTAGATACTTCAGTAAAATCAATTTTGAAAGAACGTTCATTCTTCCCATGTATAAACTATAAACGGATAAATAGCAAACAATTATAATAATAACGTTACAATCATGTCTGAATGATCGACTGTTGTATAAGAAAGTATCAATCTAAGATTGAGTAATCGAGGACTAATCAACGGAGACAAGCAAATGTTATTTTCTTTTGACGTAACTTCGTGATGCGCGATACTAATTGCTTCTGTCAATGCGCTCGGCGGACTGATCGCGGCAGTTTTTAGCGAGATTGAAATGAGCCTTGCGTGGATATATCGAGCCAAGTAATAAAGGATACTACTCATTATCGGCGGAGTGTAATCGATGGTTTTATGATTCAGGTTCTGCCACGATGTGTACGTATGGTATGATAAAAAGATGCCGGATAAACCGAATACTGGACAGACGATGAAGCGCGGTGAAAAACGTTTAATTGGACTAGATTGTGGACGGCCGAGGTGGTTGGAGCGTAGATGACCGGTTCGTGCAGGCACGTAAAGTATTGACGGTGAACTTCGGAAAATTCTGCCTCATGTTGAGAGCGCCAAGCCATACGCTAAATTGCTCCCCCGATGTATTACCAGGAAGAGAGGACAGAATTTAGAGTACGCGTATCCTCTTATCGCCGAGGTTACGCCGCGGCGGAAAGAAGGTCGCTATATACTCGACATCGAGGCTTTAATCGCGTAACTGTACCCCGCCGCCCGTTCTAACCCTTCATTAGGCGCGCATCTACTTTACGTGACTTTTTTTTAGCGACCGACCGTCCATACCGCTCTCTCGCACCCGGCGAGAATATCGTACGTACGTAAAATGCGGCTTAAATTAATCCGCGTGTAATGGTCTCACAAGGTTACTCTGCTCGATCGTTCCCGATGCTGATGGCGCGTGCGCTTCATCGTGCTGGGGTAGTACATGAGATGGATACGATGATTCCTGATGTACGAAGGGGGAGATGAGAAGAATATTTTGCAATTGTAAAAATATACGCTTAATATAATCTGATAAATTTTTTAACGAGGGAAATTATTTTTTAGACATCAAACGATATCATTCCTTCATTTGAGATATGAAGTGATCGAAATTCAAATATATCACAGAAAACATGGTTTTGCTAAAATATCTAAAAATTTAGCTGATATTGATTTGAAATAAATTCGTTAAAATTTCAGAATAATACAAATGAATCTCGAACGTGTTGAACGATGCTGCAAAAAGTTTTGCGGCATTTTAATAATCAATTTCAATGTAGTACATAATTATTTTGATGATCTAAAATTATTTTCAAATCTGTATCTAAATTAAATTTTTAGATATATTAGCAAAACTATCTTTTCCGTATATAGATTCAAAAAGATACGCATTATAAATATAATTTCACATTTTAAAGTAAACTCTCTTCCTTTTCCTCTCTCTCGAAACCAATGGACTTCGATTCCGGATAGCTCATATATGCGATACGCATCTCGCGAGCACGAACGGCCCAGGAAGCCATCTTGTTAAACTCCAGGGATTTCCGGGCAAGGACGAAAGGATCATTAGCGTCGGGCCGGATTCATCGCTCATACGCGAGTTCCCGTGCGATGAAAACTGCATGAAGAAAAGACAGACACGTCCCGTCCCGTCGATATAAATAAAGTATCGAAGGGATGGACACACTTCGGCTCGTCCGAACACAACGACGAGCGAAATGAAAAATGCCGAGACGGCCGATCAATGTAAATATATTCATGACGTGGGGTGGCCGAGCGGCCACAGGGATGCCGGGATATACACGTACGCGTATACGACGGGGTTTTATAGGATGGGGTTCGTCGAGGACTCGATGGCACTTGGACGGCACATAATTCACTCTTTGGCAGCTCATTACAATTTAAAAAGGCCTTTGTCAGTGTACTACTCGTGATTTCGTTCACGGTCTCGTGGCGTTCGCGCATCGCCGCACCTTCGGTGGCAACTAACGATGCTCTACTTAGTTCCTTCGTCATGCGTTGAGTCTTCAATGAAATGAAATTAGAAATGTAAATTAAGTCCGGTTACGCGATGTTAAGAACCTGAATCAAATTAAATAAAATCAAGTTAGATATTTTGTTAAATATTTAACTTGAATAAAACATTTGTAATTTCTATATATACGCTTCGTAAAATGAAGTGTTTATAATTTCTACGCTTATATACGTTTGAAAATTTTTTTAGCAATTATCTTAGAAAAAAAAATAATCACACTGTTGTGATATCTTTCTGTACGTGTCGCAACCAAAATGTAATCTAATTAATTATATTCATTATCTCGACAATAATTTTGCCGTTATGCACGATCGACTTTTACCGCCAGGAACGTATATATCACAGATTATTATCCTAATCACTGACGGATCAATAATGACGAGTTCGTTTTCTCTCGTCCGCGAAACCGGTTTGAAACAAAGAATGACGATAGGCCAGGAGATTTCTAATTTAAGTCGTTCAAACGGCCACATCGAAAGAGAAATAACTACGTACGCGTTTTCGAAACTGATTCCGGCCATTACAGTCATCTTCTTTACATCGATAATTTTGAATTGACATACAAGGATGTATACTGATTTATAATGCAAGAACATATAGAATTATTGGTACACCGAAGAAACTGATATTTTTCCTAATGATACGGTAAAAATGTAAATATATGAATAATAATTATGTGAACAATGAATTTGTTTTCGATATTTGTTATGATATTTAATATTGAAGTAAGTTTATGAAAATTTCTGTTTTAAAATGCCAACAGTTCCATATTGATATATGATATTTTCAAAACACACGAGTATACATGAAACAACAATAGTAACAAATCCGAATACTCTTTTCTCGATATTCATATTTCTCCAATGCTACGTAAAAATAACAAGTCTCTACTAGTCTTTAATGACTAATTGGTTGCGCGCAAACTAAAAAGCGGGCGCTGCAAAAATTTATGCAAAACTCCGCTAATCGGTGAGCGGCCAACAAGTGTTTGAGTGCCCGATTATCCCGTTGATTACGCACCTCGCTCGCGTTTTATACTTTAACACGTTTGTTAATCACTCTAATCCACCTTCGACGAGCATTCGCGAACCCGGCAATCCGTGAGAATAATTACTACGTACGCCGCTCGTAATGCGTGTGCCTTTTTGCGCAACGAAATACGCGCGAGATTGCGACACCTTTTGTCCCGACGTAACACGGAGAATCGAAACCGGACAGAACCGGGTGGTAAAAAAAAACAAAAAAGACAAAAAGAGAGCGTGTGCGCAACTGCGTTCCCGCGGGATCGGGCGGAGAAGGAGAAGCCCGAAATTGATATGTATTCCATACCGTGCCGCGTCCAATCTATCGTGGGTCAAGCAGGCGGAATTTTAAGCGCGTTTTGACGTATGCGCGTGTACGTACGTGCGTATCGCGTGCGTATCGCGGGTGCTCGGCCACCGAGTGTCGAAATAGCCCCAGACGATGAAACTGTGCGAAACGCAGTGGCCGACCGGACCCCGGATCACCTCCTCGCATTCAGAAACTTACGAGGGCATAAAGTATCCCGATGTCTTATACACGTCGAATACACGCGTGTTCGAAGATACGTGTGCGTGCGCGCGCGCTTCTTTCTATTGTGCAAAGGGGTGGCGCGCGGCCGCGCGAATGCCCAACGAGGGTTGGGCGGCGGTCATCGTTGGAAAATTGAATTTCGTCCCTGAGGGCCCGTCGGATGAAGTATGCTGACAGTTGGAAAATTTGCGTTTAACCACGCGCACGCGACACCAAGCGCCGGAATATATCCCCGGGAAAAATCTTCCCGCCATCGTTCTCTCTTTTTTTTTTCATCACCTTATTCCCTCTTTATTTATTTATTTTTTTCACAAATACGCTCGAAACGTGTGAATTTCGATATCGCGAAACGCTCGATGATTATTTAAAAATACACTTGGACTTACCGTGAGGCACCCATCCATGATGACAGTTCTCGCAGTAGCGCAGATGACGTTTCCCGGGTGTGAAAGATTCGCAAGAGCAGCCGTTCACCGTGCAGCGGATAGACTGCAATCAGAAACAAGTGCGTCACTGTAGAGAGACTATTAAGTTACAGAGAAAGTATCATATAACATTTAGAAAGAGTCGTCAGTGGTGCCTATTCAGCAGGCAGGTTTCGTCTATCTATATCCCACGTACCTCAGTTCAGTACGGATTAAGGGACGATTGCCGTAGGCAAGTGGAAAATGGACGACAGGGGTTCTTGGTATTTTGAGTGACCGTTTGGCGTAACGCCACCCTAGAGGAAGCTCGTAAGAGACAGGCTCGTCGGATTTTAAGGAACCGTGAATATTTTCCGCCCTTTGGCTTGGAATTAACCCCCTGGGATCGACCATCCAATACTCCTATATCCTCGAAGAGGAGGAAAGGAATCGACCTCGCGTATCGGTATTACTTTATATATACGAGAACGCGGTAGAAAACTTTATTCGCCGCGCTGTTGCAAGTTACCTGTAAGTCGATATGTACCTACATCGAGATATCGACGTATCTCGTCGCCGCCGTACTGCATCGAGACGAAAAGGCGGCATCCCTTCCTCTTCAACAACCATGTCTATTATAGATTTGAAAGTTCACCCACGAGCAACACGAATATGCACTAGGAAGTTCGATTTGCAATTATCGCACTAATGCACTTGGGGGACCGTCCGAGATTTTACGTAACACCACGTCGCTCTTAGAGATTGCGACTTAATTTCATTTAATCTTTTAGCAACGAGTTTAATTTTACTTCACCGGAAAGAACGGTTTTGCTGAACTATAAAAATTTAGCTATACTAAATAACATAAGACGAAATATATTAAATTTTAATAAATATATTTATTTACCGTAAGTATGATAAATAAATTAAATTCATATATTATTCAAATAAATATTTATTAAAACTTACAATTAGTACATTTTTCCTCAGTGTATAAATACACTTAAATCGGAAAATAGTTATGTTTGAATTATTAAAATAATTATGCGAGACGCTGAAACTGCTAGAATATTAAAAGTCTGCAGCATTGTCTTAAATGTTCTACACATAATTATTTCAATAATATTATTTTCTTTTAAAAAAAAAAATTTTTTAGATATTTCAGCAAAACCATTCTCTGTGTTCACTCTTAAATCCTTAATATTTTTGGAGATATTCTAGTCAATTTTAAAGATATCTAGTTTTTTTATAATTAAATTTAATTTAGCCCTAATTATTAGTTAAATTAAATAATTGATTTAATAGAATGAGGTGTAATAATTATATTATTTGTTTAAAATATTGATTATTATTTAGGGAAGGAAATTATGGGATAATCTGTAATTTAAATTAAAATCATGTATTAGTAATTTTTATTTAAATTAATATTAATAAAATTTTAATTTTATAGAAAAAATTTAATAATCTATTATTAATATAAAAATATAAGGATAAATATAATATATTTTATAACATTATTTTATTTTATTTTTTAAATAACAAGACTTATAATCATTTTCTTGTTTCTTTCTCAAATTATTTTTTGTTTGATTTCTTTTCGCTACAATCAATTCAACTTGAGGAAAGTTTACCTTCTTTTTCTAATAAACACACATAAATAAATATACACGTTCCTGACTTTATCTTCGATCACGATCATCACGCATCTTCCATATCAGCGAAAACGCAATTTACCGAGAGACGCAACCCCTGGCGACGTTCGCAGGAGTAATAATTTGGAATCAGGGGCAGTTCTCGCTGCCTTCGTCCCTCGTAAAACGGCAGCGCGTTTATATAAAGAGGCGAAAAAAGGGCCGCGAGAGAACGCTGGGAGGGGTAAAAAGTTGTTTCACGGCGGTGTTAGACGCCGACGCTACCCGTTGTGTTGTCGTCATAACGCCGTTACGGCGTTACACAGCGGCGTTAATATAAAGACAAATGAAGCGACGCCACGGTGCACGCTGTGCCGCCTCCTGCTTTGCTCGGCTATGTGTCTTTATATAGACAGTATCCCGTGCCACCGTGAAAAACGCATCCGCCGGGAATCTTCTGTCGCGAGAAGAAGCGATGCGCTAAGACGACGTGTACGACAAAAATTCGCAAGCGGTAAAATTTTATTAGCCACACCGCGGGTTATTTATTCGGAACGACGACAGATTATACGGCGATATTAGCGGAGCTGCTCCGCGTAAGAGGGAGCATTACATCCGAATAAAAATACGTGCGCGGTATAACGTCTTGTTTTTCGCAAGCAACTTTCTTCTTCCCAGGTGAATTTCATTAATAGTCATTATGACTTTTATTCAATTTATTTATTAATTTTCAATTTTTTTTTTAATTTTTATAGCTCGTTTAATTTTTCCTTTCTATTTTATATAAAACAAATTTATGATAATTGACTAAAATAAAACATATTTCTTTTATTATTTATTTATTTATATATGTGCATATTTTTGATATACACGTGATTTTTCTTAATTTGTTTCTCAATATATTGTTGAATTCCGGAAAAATATGTGATTAAAACGTTGTAAATGTTAATTTAATAAGGAATAATTTACTGATATATTTAAAGATAAAATTCAACTGGGAACAAAATATATTTGCACTGCTTTGCACATAATCTATACAACGTTTATATATTACATTATCGTAATACTGTACGCGTAACACTTCCTGGATCTTTCACCTCCGTCTGGCATTGTCATTCTATTTGTCTTCCTACTATCTTCCACTAATCTGGTGATGAATGCCATTTCTCGAGTTACATGCACAGAAGGTGTGTCATTCATTCGTTCCAGTTCTTTTTCATGATATTCCAAGCCGACTTCTCTTACATACGTTTGAATCAAAGTCTAGTCATGTATCGTCAAGTCCGATCAATGTGTTTATATGCATACTGAGTTCGAAGTAATGAGCTGAATAACCAGGAAAGAAATGATTCCTACAGAGAACGATTTTGCTGAAATATCTAAAAATGTAGCTAGATACATAGAAAATAGTTTTGTTGAACAAAATAATTACGTAGAACGCTCAAATTCGGTTGCCAGAGTGTCAAATTTTTTACAGCATTGCTTATTATTCTCAAGTTTCCTATGTAATTATTTTGTCCAATAAAATTATTTTTAAATCTATATCTATTAGGTGTTGGAATTAATTCGTAGCGTTTTTTAATGAAAGAATGTTATTTATTTCACATGAGCATTAAAAAATACATTAATGAAAGTACTTCCCATCACTTGTAAAACGCTACGAATTAATTCCAACACCTAATATCTAAATTTTTACTAGCAAAATCTTTCCGTAGTCATAGAATAAGTCACGATATTTACACCCCTCTGTTTTTAAATTATTCACCGTTCAAGTTCGTTGCACACACGCAGCTATAGTTTCAAGTTTTTTTTATTGTAGTATACTTCAACTTAATACAAAGTTAAATGAATAAGAGGGTTTACCTGCCGATACATCCAAAAACATGTACAACTCTAACAAATCACAATCCCGTAAAACTTGTACTGTGAATAATTTATAAAAAATAATATTATGTTCATAAAAAAGAAGTCATTTAATATTAAAGAAGAAAAATGTAAAATTGTGCCGACATAATTATGTATAAATGTGACCCCATAACTAATGTAAAATAGCTTTTTTTCAAGTTGCTTTTCATAATTCATTACGTCACTATTCCACGGTTGGTATAACGCGGATCTGCCGCAATGCCGGTGCACAACTGCAAATGGATTCGCCAGGTTCTGGCTCGAGTGTCTCTATCACCTCAGTCGTTTCCCTTTTACTTTTGCGTACTGCCTTCTGGTATCGCGCCGTACAGAAGGCAATAACATTTTTACGAGCCTCGAAACATTTATTACCGTCTGTAAGCCGCCACGCGGGTTTTCATCTTGCTCTTTTCCTGATATTCGCTACTTAAGGATACACCAGTTCTCGCGAACGTGTACGTATACGTGTAAGTATCACATATATGAACTTCTTAGATAACGTCTTTCGATTAGGGAAATAACAGGGAAATGTCTACTCAGAGGCTCCTTCCATTCTCCGATGCGATTAATAACTCGGAAGCGGCCCGAATGACAACTTTGTTCCGTCGTTAATATTTATTGTTACAATTTTTATCGACGTCTTTTTGTTTGAAATTATAAGTGAACAATACGTCCCGCTCATCAATATCTTTAACATTCTAGTTTAAGAAAGGAGATTGGAGATACATGAAAAGGTAAATTTTTTTATTGAAATATCAAAAAAATTAGCTAGATACAGATCTGAAAATAATTTTGATATCAAAATAATTATGTAAGATGTTTAAACTGATTGTTAGAACGTCAAAGCTTCTTGCAGCATTGCTTATTCTCTAAATCTGAATCAGTGGAATCAGTTATTAATTACCAGTGATATACTTGACACTGATAATCAGTGAAGTTCAATTAAAAAAGGAAAAATGTTTGAGCATCATATAATTAAAATACTGATATTTGCACGTTAATTTCAATCTTCTAATACTCATTGAATTTAAGCAATAAAACAAGGTTAGTTTGATCACGTAATAAAAATTAGCTAGATTAGAGATCTCACATTTAACTCACTGATTATCAGTGGTATCATTACAGTGATTATCCACTGATTCAGATTTAGAGAGTATCATGCTTGTGATTCCTATCTATCATCAATCATTTTGATAACCCAACAAAATTATTTTCTGCATCTAGCTAAATTTTTAAATACTTCAGCCGTTCTTTTCGTGTATGTATTGATTATCGAAAATATTTTTTCCAAACTAATATTTGTAATATTTAAACTTATATTTGTAGAAAATCAAGAGAAAACATATGAATGGTTGTATAGCCAAAGAATAAAAAAAAAGAAACATAATAATATTAGATATATTAAAATCGTATCAGATGTATAATCTCTGCAAAAATTGATAAAAATTAAAAATTTATACTTTTTGTATAAAATTTATGGTTGTGCAGTATATACATTAGATCAATGTTTACATTTAATAATACAATCTTACTGTTTAAATAAAAATGT